GCGAGAGCTTTTCAAAGTACGTTAAAAATGCAAATATTTGACCATCCGTCGCCAAATTTCAATTTACGGGTTAGACATATATTTTAGCACGCACCACATGTCTTGAGCTATAATAAGTTGAAATAGACACAGTTGTATGTATGTTTATCGCGGGAGTTTTGAGAGTTTTAAGTGAGCAGTTGTGTTTATTAGAGAGGTTTGTATTGTTTAGAGTTTACCGTTTTACTGATTTACAAGTGTTTTGGCCAGTTATCACTCTGTATACCACTCGTGAGCAAGCTTTTTTTTTTAACTGTTGTCATACATGTTGTTACTTTCATACAGTGTGTTGTGGAGGAACTTAAATATTCTAGCTTGGTAACAGTAGCCAAGGAAGGTTATTGTGCTGATTAACGCTATCTTTCTGGTGCATTTTGTCATAGAAAAACCTGAAGTTGTACATGATTCGAAGAAACACAAAAAACAGGTTTGTAGTGTCAATTTTGATTGATCTAAGTCTCCAGTTGGTAAACATGATTGTGTGTTACATAAATAACATACCAAGGTATGCAACAGGTAGTATAAACTGTGGTATAAGCCATTGTAATACCTGGGTGGGCAAAGAAAACTGTGCTCCATAAAGCCAAGTGAGAAGCTAAGGCCATATACAATAATTCCGGCAGAAAATGCTTCAGTTACAGTATTTAAAATGTGTGGAAAGCACTCACTTCAATCTTAATGTATGGCTTCTATATTTCTCATGTTTTCAAATCCTGTTTTGTTTTGAAGCATTATAATTGTACATGTACCTGGACTTGGCTATATTGTTAAGTTTTTTCTTATGTCTCAACAATAAGACGTGTGTCAGTACATTTATGTATATTTTTATTTGTCAATGATGGTATGTACAGCATGCAGTGTAGTGCAATACGTCCCACATTAAACTATCATTCCATTTCATTTTTGTTTTCAGAAAAAGCATGAAGATGGTGAACGAAAGAAGAAAAAGAAGGAAAAGAAAAAGAAAAAGGTAACTCACAAAATTTTATTCGGGTCTTAAGTTCATTCTTTTTCNATAATTGTACATGTACCTGGACTTGGCTATATTGTTAAGTTTTTTCTTCTGTCTTAACAATAAGACGTGTGTCAGTACATTTACGTATATTTTCATTTGTCAATGATGGTATGTACAGCATGTAAAGTAGTGCAATGTGTCCTACATTTAACTATCATTCAATTTCATTTTTGTTTTCAGAAAAAGCATGAAGATGGTGAACGAAAGAAGAAAAAGAAGGAAAAGAAAAAGAAAAAGGTAACTTACAAAATTTTATATGGGTCTTAAGTTCATTCTTTTTTCTAGAAAAATTATTGAAATAATCTAAAAATGGCAAATTTTTACACTTGTCTTGATCTCATTATTTGATTTCCAAACAAAATGAAAAACATATTTTCCAGAAAAAAAAATTAAAAATGAATTTACACTTTTTGCAAACTAAACTTTCAATGCTAAGAATTTCATTATTTTTGAATTTTCAATTTTACTAGGATGTCTAATAGTAGTTTTTGTATTATTACCTATATTCATCTTATCTCTTGGAGTTGAGTGTTCAAGCCAAAACTAAGCATGGAAGAATCAGTCACAAATGCTTTTTTCCTGCCCAAACATGTAATTGAACCCTGTTGTCCATTGTACCTTTTGAAAAGAATTGTTGTAAGTTCCATAGAATCCATGCCAGAACGACTTTGAAGAATTTAAACAAAATTCATACTTCTCCCCCAAGAAAAAAATGAGACCCTCCCCCCCCCCCCCAATTGGCTGCTAACATGGGTATGCACAGTTTCATTTGTCTGAATTATCAGTCAGAAATTTACTCTTTACATAGACCATGTTTTTGTCTGCAGTAATCAGCTATGCAGTGATTGTTCTGGTTTATATCACAATTTTCAGAGGCACACTCCAGATGCAACTCCTCCAGGTGGAGGTCTGGATCCTAGCTGAAGACTGGAATGTATAAACTATTTCTATAAATAATATTAATATTATTATGATATTAACAGTACACCTAACTTAATATACATGCATGCCATCGTAGTAAGTACTGTTACAGTGAAAATTTAAAGGTTGTTTTGGCAACATTGTACAAATTTGGTAGTTGATATTGTATAGGGTAGCTTGTTCCAGGCCGTCAAATGGTAGGGAATGAGAAGAAGAGGCATTGCCTGTCTGTTTTGCCTCAAATTATACACATGCATGGTGCCAAAAATACTGAGTGGTATGGTGCCATAGANCTAGATAAATGATTGAAATAATCTAAAAATGGCAAATTTTTAGACTTGTCTTGATCTCATTATTTGGTTTCCAAACAAAATGAAAAACATATTTTTCCAGAAAAAAAATTAAAAATGAATTTATACTTTTTGCAAACTAAACTTTCAATTTTACTAGGATGTCTAATAGTAGGTTTTGTATTATTACCTATATTCATCTTATCTCTTAGAGTTGAGTGTTCAAGCCAAAACTAAGCATGAAAGAATCAGTCACAAATGCTTTCTTCCTGCCCGAACATGTAATTGAACCCTGTTGTCGATTGTACCTTTTTGGAAAGAATTGGTGTAAGTTCCATAGAATCCATGCCAGAATGACTTTGAAGAATTTAAACAAAATTCATACTTCTCCCCCAAGAAAAGATGAGATCTCTCCCCCCCCCCTCCCCCCACAATTGGCTGTTAACATGGGTGTGCAAAGTTTCATTTGTTTGAATTATCAGTCAGAAAATTTTCTCTTTACATAGACCATGTTTTTGTCAGCAGTAATCAGCTATGCAGTGATTGTTCTGATTTATATCACAATTTCAGAGGCACACTCCAGAGGCGACTCCTCCAGGTGGAGGTCTGGATCCTAGCTGAAGACTGGAATGTATAAACTATTTCCATGAATAATATTAATATTATTATAATATTAACAGTACACCTTACTTAATATACATGCATGCCATCGTAGTAAGTACCATTACAGTGAAAATTTACAGGTTGTTTTGGCAACATTGTACAAAGTTGGTAGTTGATATTGTATAGAGTAGCTTGTTCCAGGCCGTCAAATGGTAGGGAATGAGAAGAAGAGGCATTGCCTGTCTGTTTTGCCTCAAATTATACACATGCATGGTGCCAAAAATACTGAGTGGTATGGTGCCATAGAAAGCCAAAGGGATACTAACTTTCCACTGCAAAATGACCACTCCTGGTTACAGTACACCCAGTCAGAAAGACATGTATTCTTTCTGGCAAATCTACACAAAAGGACTCAGGGAGTTTTCCTGTCGTTCAAAATCCAGTCAGAATTCTGGATGAAAAACTCACCTTCCTCATTTCATTCACATTCTATCGAATAACCATCTTGAAATGTTATTCGGAGTTGTAACATCAGCATGGCACCAATGGTAAAGATACACGTATCAATCAGTGGTAAAAAAAAAACATCTGTGGGTAATTTTGTTTTAACACAACTTCTCAACTGCAGGCCGTTGGCTCAGTCATTGACTCTATTGGAATTGCTACCAGAAATGTTTATTTTGTTGTTATTGTTACTCAGAGTAACATGAATTCTGGGTCCAGACCTGCTGTGCATATACTTTTTATAGGGGTGCATGAGCACAAAAACTTGGATCACCAAAACACATATGTAGAGTTGTGGAAGCTCTACTTCTGCGTTTGTCAAACTTGATTTTGTACCTGGTATTCTGATTGGCAATTACATGTACCCTTAAGCCTGTATGTGTCGTTTGCATAGTACTATTTCAGTGCAATATTTGGAAAAATAAGATAATTATAAAAAAGAATGTAATGGAGAAAGAATGAGTGAAATGTAGACTGCAATATTAGTTTAAATGACAGAGAAATTTTTTTATAATGGTCACGAATTTAACTAATCAATTAATGAATGTCACAAGATTCTTTTAAATTACACATTAGACCAAGGCAGACAAATACAATAAGTTTATTATTTAAATTTTGTAATCTTAATACTTAGAAATTTAACTAACTTCAGTGATCAGGTACACTTTTCCCCTCTTTTTTTGAAAAACAATTTGTTTTAAGAAATTCTCAAACACCTTTTTGCCCAAGGTTGCAAAAAAAATTAATTTCATACACTGAACATTAATGCCATGCAATTGATTGGACAACTTTAGTAGACTGACGGGTAAATACAATAACATGTAGCTATTGTGCAGAAAAACAAAATTCTTTTTATTGTTTGTTTGCATGAAACATCCATCAGAGCACAAGAGTTCAGTAGTACTGTAAACTGCAAGTAGCCGTATCATTGCTATCACTGATATCAGCCGAGTGAGAATGAGTAAGGGACCACATTCCTCATTCCCTCATCAACCTCATTCCCAGTCCCAAACAGTTTGTTAAGATCGCTGGGCCCTGGGCATAAAAGACAAATGGCATGTGGAAACAAAGGAAAGAGCACCCTTCTCTTTAGTTTGGGCTGGTGAAATCCTTCCCGTAATGCTAAGAAAGAAACGACCAGAAATGTCTATATGTATGTGACACTATTGGTTTGGTTAGGCAGTGCTTCTCGTCATGCAATTTTTATTTCAAGGAAAGTGTCACGAGACGATTTGAATGTTGAAACGGGCACAATATGTGCTTCGGTCACAATATTTGTCCCTTCCTAACACGATTGTTTTTTCTTGTTTCGTCCTTTATACGTATTTTCTTAAAGCCTACGATTAACAGTAGTTCTTGTGAAATAATACGGAGGGTCGAATGTGAGTTAATAGAACAGAAAAATCTAAATATGGCAAGGAGGCCCTTGATTAGTCTTAATTGATGTTAAATCTCTTCTCTGATGTCAAGACCATTGAATTTGGTCGGCAGTGACTTCTGTTATTTATTTGTATTTTATAATTTTTTTAACTTATATAAATTGGTGCCCTCACCAGTTTCCTATAAGGGTTCAAATATATCTGTTTCTGCCCGGTTAGCACCCCACAACGGTGTCCTTAAACAGTGCAGTAGTTGAAAACACCAAATCCAAAAGTTAAATTACTTAGCTGAGTACAGCTTACGGTAAAAGTTAGTGCTAGTGATTTAAAAGCGCGCATATCACAACGACTTGTACAGTCTTGTTGTAAAAAAAAAAACTTACAAGGGTGTGTGGAGCAGTATTTTTTGTAGATCAGTGGTAGATTAAAATATTATTAAGTAAATCCAAAATAAAATTACTGAATGCAAAGATATCCGTCTATCCATATCCAACTATTTCGGAAATTCCTGAAAATGCTGTAAGTTCCTTTCGCCACAATAAATTTCCGGGGATTCAAACCCGAATCTTTGGTCGAATGAAAAGTGCCCAACTGTACCTCACTCGAATGTGGTACCCAGGTGGGATGTACTTGGAAGACATGAGAAGGTGTTGAGCATGCCCTTCAAACAAATTTTGATTTTAATAGATATTATGAGGCCGAAGTCTGATATATTTTGTAACATTTACTATGATTTTGTTCTTTTTTGAAGGGAATCAATGGAGTATACACTCCATTGAGACTTCGGCCTCGTAACACCATTAGATCACAATTGACCAAAATATTTCACCCACGCCTCGAAACCGTGATCGCCAATTTTGTACACAGAAAAAGGAAACTATGGGGCCATATGCAGTATATTTATGGCTTGGGATCCCATCGCAAGTAACTGGCATAAAATTTGACTAGCTCGTGTAACTGTTCAAAGTCGGTGCAATAAACATACCCAGAAACCTGTGCGCAGAAATACACAACTCATCATGGCTACCCCCACAGTGGGAAAGGGAGTAGGGGTACAATACAAAGTTTTGTCCGGGGAGGCTCCCCCCGAGGTCCAAGCCCTTACCCTTTTGTATACCATTTTGACAGAAATGGTACCCCTTTCGTTTACCTTGTATTGAAAAAAGGTAACACACCTACCTACTTGAGAACACTACACACCCTTTTCTAAACCCTCGGAATGAAGTTAATAAACAATACTACGGGAGAACATCAAGCATTACCAGAAGAAATGTTAACCAAAAATTCAGGTTTCATTTATTGATCTTTATTCAGTTTCCGTTCTCCTTATATCTAAATAACAGATTTCCCTACCCTTTTATATACCTGAAGACTGAAAAAGGTACCCCTTTCTGGCGGAGCCTCTCCGTATAGGCTGTTACAGGGGATACCCCCCCCTCGGGGTGGTTGCCTCCGGCAAACGGCAATCGAGTAACATTTTTGACATTCTGCTGGTCCCAGTAATATGTTACCGAATGGAATGTCTGAGGAGGAACTTAGTCCGAACCAACCTCAGTAAAAAGAAAACTGCTTGCTTTGCTGTAAATGGCTTGCTGATTAATTATCACCTTGCGATTGTTAACGACAGTGAACCTATCACAATTAATGTTAAGAACAGTTTTTTTTCCCAAGCTAAGATAAGGAAGCTAAAACAGATTTAACCCGGCCGGGCGGTGAAAGTTTGATTGCTTTCATACTTCAAGAGAGCGGCTGCTAAATGCCTGCCTACTCCCTGACAGGAAGAAGAAACAACACAATTTCCAGAATCTCAATGTTTAATCCACCATCACTTAACTTAAATGTTACATGAAATCTTCTTAGTTGTATAAATTGCATTTACATATGCCACTTAGATGTTAGTACTCAATTTGTATACTCATTCGTGTAAGTTGTTTCGCTGCGAGAGAAAATACTGAAAAGTAGATAGAACTCTGTAACTTTTATAAAGAGATTATGTGAGATTAGAGAAGGAATGCCTATTGGCTGTCTTATCTTTATGATAATTTCTCATCTTTCACCTCCCAGACTTAGGTGATTCCTAAGCCTGGGAAGTATTCCTTGTCTTATTCTACATAGTACCCTAAAGACTTACAATCGCTAGCTAGTAAAACAATGTGTATTTCAAACGCCATTGGCATATAAAAGTGGTTGTAACATACCATAAAATTCCGACACTGCCCTGGACCTATACTTATTCCAAAGTATTTTAGAAGGCTTATTTTCCAGTGGGGTATTTGCTTCTGACAAATACTCAGGGTAGGGGTAAGAGTGGTGTTATTATCGAAAGAAGTTTAGTTCTTTGACGAAGGCCTATGTTTGTTTTTTTAGCCTGGGTTCCACGCGTTTTGCCCCCTCCTCCCCTCCCCCCTCCCCTCCCCTACTTTTTTGTGAGCGGTTACGTGGGTACTATTAGAGGAATTCATATTGGTAATAGAGCTTGTGTCTGTAGAATAATCGGGGAAGGGTGGGTGGGTTCTTGTAATCGGAATTTTACGGTACTTGCAAAAAACTGAAAACGTTAAAGCTGTGTCTATAAGAATCGTGGAACTGCAAGCAAACACGTTTGCAAACATGTTTGCAAACAAATACCACTTAACTTAATGAAACAGGCATGAAAGGCTTTAACTGAAAAGTCAGGACATATCGATATAGCGGAAACAATTTTTAGACTGAATCGGCGGCTAAGTTTGCAAAGTCAGTTGTATATAAATACTTACAACGTAAAATGATTTGAAAAGAACGTCTTTGAATGTCGCAGCATATAAACATCATGTTTGTAACCTTATTTACAACTCAGTGGTATTTCCAAGATATTTACAATCATATGCAATTGTCATATCAAAACATTTGGCAACATACAGTTATCACAATTATTTTGAAAGAAAAAATCATTATATAAATATTTACAATCATATTTGGTGGTATATTTGGCAAGTATATTTAAAATTAATCATTTGAAAATAGTAAATGTTTTCAAATCCATGCTATATCATTATTGCTATTTGGCAGGGATGTTTACAATCATTCAAAAAGGATAAAACACATTATGAACTTGATTTAAGATCAACTTGAATAAAGTAAACTTATGATAAATAGAATAAACTTTAAAAAAAATTTAAATTTGAGTGAACGAGAAAGCAGATCTGGAGAGAAAAGAACATCACTGTTAAAATCTTTCCCCATACCAGTAGATCAATTAAATTCCAGGGCAAAAGTATGTTATTGAATTGAAAATCAAAACGCATATTTTTATCACTAAGGATAGATGGTGACCACGGATTTGTCGAACACGAACTCCCTACATGCCGTTAATTGTTTGATTGGCATTTTTCAAAGAGAGATAGATTGTGGGTTTGTGTTAAAAACCTTCATTTGATTGGTGTGTTCCAAAAGTTTTCCATTCCTTATTTGAAGTAAAATAAATAAATAAATAAATAAATAGACAAGTTGTAATCCGCCAAGGCTTACTAGTGAACTTGAATGAAAATACTTACTAGTATCCAAACCATTTTCTGAAAGTCCTGCTCAAGAATCCCTGTTGTTCTGTAAAATAACGGAACAAAGGAACATAGGAAACAGGCATTCATTGACATGTAGAAGCCAAAAGACAATGAGGATAAATCTGACAATTCACAAGTCTGTAATAATCTTATCGACTTCTGGACAAAACTGCTCTGTGTGGGTTTACGAAGGTATGTGGTCAGATCGTGAGATCCGAGTTCGACAATATAGCCAAATCGTTCTGGTTTTAATTAAGCTTAGTTAGATAAAAGATCCTCAAAATAGTTAATAGATCGCTCCGCGTGTGTAAGTCTATTCGGGCCAAAAAAAAAAATGGTTTCCTTCTTTGATAAAGTTAAACTCCAGTTAACATCATCCACTACAAGCTCCCTGCAAACTTTGCCTCACGAGTCACACTTCCAAGTTGTTGTCTTCATTTTAAACTTTAAGTTAATTAGTCTATGGCACCGTTCACACTACGCCGGAGGAATTTGAAAAAGCAGGTTTCACTCTGAAAACAATTTAAATATTTTCCGTCCACATTACGCCGGAGAAACCATCAGTTAAAAATGTAACAATCACCCGGTCATTTTGGATTTGTGTTTGAGGAAAATTCAGGCAAAGAAAATCAAATCATTATTGTAATTGACTACATTATTTTCGAAAATCTCCGTTTTCAAAATGTTTTCCGTCCACGCGAAAACGAAAAGCGGGCGTTTCCAAAATCCTCCACTTTTGAAGAGCGTTTTCGAAAAGCTCCGTTTTCGTGACGGATTAATGTGGACGCTGTCTTACTGGCTATAAACAATGCTGTTTTTAACAGGAAAGAAGAAAAAAAGGATTTAACAGATTACTCCCATGCTTTATACAAACATACCGATACGTGGGAAGGGATTGACGCTTTGAGCGAAGGCATTTGCCGGGTAAGTGTTCGCCATTTTAGATCCGTCAAGAACTGTGGTCACTGGAACAACCGGTAATGGACGATGGTGGATGTATCCATTGCCTAAACAAAACAAAGCAAAACAATCGACAATTTACCTTTAAAAGAAATCTTCATTTAAGTACTTCACGGAGAATCAATGCACGTTTTGCTGGGAGTAAATAACATCCATTCTAAGATTCAATACCTCTCTTTTTTGACGTGCCTTATTGTTGTTGTTTGTCTTTGTTTTACCCTTTTTGCCACTTCTGTTCCGACAAAGTTGATCTCAGTGTTGGTCTATGTGGGCTGCCATGTATCGTTTTCGATGTTGTGAATATTTAATTATGGTATAGTATTGTGCCGCTCTCCATACCTTTTGCCGCCTTGCTGAAAGGGTTCACTGTCGTCGATGTTTGAGAACCATCGACTGCTTTAGCTTTAACAGCTCTTCCAAGGGGTGGCCTGTT